TCAGTCTGGAGACTCTCCGTTGAAGAAAATTTGGAGCCGCTCACCAAACGAACGTCCAATCAGCGTTGGCTTTGAGGCGGGTTGAGGTGTGACGCAACGAGAAGCGCGTCAGTTCAGTCTAAAGAACATGGCGGCTTCAGCCGATGAAACTAGCGTTAGCGTGGCTATCGAGCAAGTTTTATCGGAATTACAGAGTATTTCTTCACTGAAAGAAGAGCAAAACACTGCTCTGGAGGCTTTTCTCAGAGGAAAAGATGTTTTTGCTCTTCTCCCGACTGGTTTCAGCAAGAGTTTGATCTATCAATTGGCTCCTCTTCGTCGTCGCTCTGTTAGTACGTCATATGCTTCGTTGATCTGATTGGTTTATTTGGCCCGTCTATCACCAACATAGGCCAATCAGCTAACCAGTATTTTCGCCCCTTCCCAAAATTACTTCAACGGAAGGTTTCCAGATGGATATGCGGAGCAAATTCATCTGGCGGAGTCAAGTTAATGGGTTTGGCCATCACAAGTGACATGAATGTTATAATCCTGCAGTAAAATCACCAAGTCAGTATTTAACACTAAACCTGAAAGGAAGTTTGAGAAAGTAAGGACCTGATGGACAATTTGAAACAACAGAAGTGGTTTTGGTGCTTTCCAGTTTAGAAGGAAAAGTCTGGTCAGCAAAAGAATAATCAATGGATCATTATTTATACCTAAAACTAATAAGTTTGCTTTGATTTAATGAATTTAGCGTTAATCAGTAAAAAATAGAAACAATAATTTTCGTGCAATCATGGAGTCTGGGAGCGGCCATTTTGGCCCAAATATAGTAAGCCCTCCCTCCTGCCATCTTCCGGCAGTGACGTCACGTTGCGGTTAGCCTAGCGCCATTCTCCCCGCTTTCCAAGCTAAATCAATGAAAAAAAAAAAAAAAAAACACGGTCGTTGGATCGCCAACTTGAAGAGGGAGGATTTGCCATCGAACTTCTGGCCAGAGAAAAAACCCGTAATATGTAGCCAACATTTGGAAGAAGAATGTTTTCAAGATGACTTGGATAATAGCGCGTTGTGACAAACACCAGATACAGCACTGGGACTTGATCAACAGCCGATACCGCACCGTGACGTCACTAACCAGTAGGTGGCAGTAGTGTTCTTTGACAAACATGGATGCCTCCAGTAAAGCACATTCACATGAAAATTACTCTGAATTAAAAACACTGATCATTTATTGAACAGGATGGAATCATTTCAGATTTAAAGAACTTTCAGAAGTTTGAATTGTGAATATGAGTGACTTTTCCTTTAATTAGATAAAATTTTAACTGTTTATCAGCCTTGGATTAATTAATAGATGAAGTTAGTTTGTTGTTAAGGTCCCTCAGATGAGTTTGACGCAGCTGGTCATAAACCTAAATGATCATTAGCAGGTAGTTAAAGAGCCTCTACTGTCTGTGTCCTCAGAGCGAGATCGTTCGAGATGAGTCATCCTCCGGGCTGCTGGACTGTATCCGTGAGGGTCTGACCCGTCTCCTTGGCGTGGGCGCTCCTCACAGCCGCCGTCTGCTTCCTCTCAGCTGCCTGCTGCTGCCCGTGGCTCTGCACGCCATCCTACGCTACGCTGTGGCAGCCAGCGCCCAGCGGGTGGCCCTGTGGTTCCACCAGCGCAGCAGGAAGCAGCGGCTTGATCCCTCCAACCCCCTGGACGCCTACTTCCCCGAGCTGGCGGCAGCGTGGGTGGGGTCTCTGGTCGCCGATGTGGTTCTGTTCCCTCTGGAGACGGCGCTGCACCGCCTCAGCCTGCAGGGGACGCGCACCATCATCGACGCCACCGACGGAGCGGTGGAAGCGGGAAGCGGCGGCAGCCCGCTGGTCCTCCCCGTCAACACGCAGTACGACGGCTTCTCCGACTGCCTACACTCCATTCGCCGCAAAGAGGGCGGGCTGGGCTTCTACAGAGGCTTCGGGGCGCTGGTGACTCAGTACACGCTGCACGGAGCGCTGCTCGCTGCGGCCAGGACGCTGCTCAGGGTGATGCTGCTGGATGCCAAGGTCTGCTGAGGCTCTATCCAGGAGATGCTGTCGCCATGACGACAGGACTTTCACTAGCTGATAATTGGTCCATAATCTGCATACTGGGAGGAATCACGTGACTGATTAGACCTTTTCACGTCCCCTCTTGACGTCACTTCCTCACACAGTGTCCTACGTTGCCATGGAAACTGTCTGATCCCACTTCTTTTAAACTCAGCCATCCTATTGGTTGACAGAGAAACACAACTTATTTAAGCAAATGTGATGTGAGCGAGCATCAACCTCTGAGTGGCAGATCTCTGTGTAAAAAAAAAAATTGTATAAAAATAAAACGTTCTGTGAATTAAAATGTAGATTCAGATTAAGTTATTGGTTGCTTGTTAATGAGTAAAGAATTTTCTGGATAAATGTCTGGAATGATTTCAAATAAATAAATTAAACTGTTGTCAGGTCGTCGTTATCGTCTTTTCTTCAGATCCCGGATTATTATTGAACTTTGACGTATAAATCAGAAGAAATTCTGAAATAATTTTTTTTATAAGAAACCTTCAGTTTCCTATTTTAGGTAAAATAAACCAAATAGTTGTTTAAATATTAAGTTAGGAAGGTGAAATTTGTTTATGGATTTCCAACAGGTGTAACTGTTCAATGCTTTACAAGTTTTTAAAAGTAGAAAAGTTTTTAAAGAAAAGCAACAGATAAATAAAAAATCAAGCACATAAAAATAAAAAAAAGACTAAGAAAGCAGACAAAAGGATAAAAAATGGGATGAATAAAAAGATAAAAGCAAACAGCTACATAAGAGAAATTATTTAGGTCATAGAGTACCAAACAGTTTTAAATATAAGACACAGACACCTCTGTGATATGAGAGGAATTGTAAAGTTGTAGGGAAATCATATTTGAATGTCAAATCATTAAGCATGTATATAAACGTACTCTTTATCAGACCAGATTGTCCCAAAATTTAGAAGATTTCTATTTTAAAAAATCCTGTCTTAAAATATATATATTTATTTCCGTTATGCAGCCCAGTTAGTTCTATGCAGCCTGAACACCAAAATTCAGGCAATCATATATCAACGGTCATCTGTCAATCAAATTTTTTCGGTCATAGCATCTTGATTCTAACCTGACTCCGCCAGATGGATTTGCTCCACATATCCATCTGGAAACCTTCCGTTGAAGTGATTTTGGGAAGGGGAGAAAATACTGGTTAGCTGATTGGCCTATGTTGGTGATAGACGAGCCAAATAAACCAATCAGAACAACAAAGCATATGACGTACTAACAGAGCGACGACGAAGAGGAGCCAATTGATAGATCAAAGTCTTGCCGAAACCAGTCAGGAGAAGAGCAAAAACATCTTTTCCTCTGAGAAAAGCCTCCAGAGCAGTGTTTTGCTCTTCTTTCAGTGAAGAAATACTCTGTAATTCCGATAAAACTTGCTCGATAGCCACGCTAACGCTAGTTTCATCGGCTGAAGCCGCCATGTTCTTTAGACTGAACTGTCGCGCTTCTCGTTGCGTCACACCTCAACCCGCCTCAAAGCCAACGCTGATTGGACGTTCGTTTGGTGAACGGCTCCAGATTTTCTTCAACGGAAATTAGCCAGACTGATTTGCGAGTGAAACCTTGAAAACTCGCGAGATCACGATGGTCTCACGAGGCTAACTTGATTCATATGTTGCAGCTAATATACGCAACGGTTGAAATGAGAATCCTTTCCTTTCCCATTGAGTTGCGTCCCAGTGTTCACGGGGATGGACGTCTGTGTCTTCGGCAGGCGTAGAGCTAACAGAACTGGCAGCGTTGCGAGGCAAGGGCTCAAACATGTACGGCTGGAAGCCTTCTACACCAAACCAAGCTTCTGCCGCCCTGGCGTCCTCTTCCACAACATTCGTCCCCGCTTTCCTCCTCTAAATAAAAAATGGATGACGGAGGAGACTCATCCACGACCTCCGACACTAAACTCTCCTCCTCTTGCATGTTTCCGCTGTCCATAGCGTTCCTTGACGGCGTCGTTTCTAAGTCACCAATTTAGTGCTACTTGGTCCCAATGGAATTTCCCATTGAGTTGAGAAATATTAGTTTCTTAATTCCCAAAGAGTTTTCCCTTTTGTTACAATTGCTGGTGGAGATTCTCAGTCATCCGGGTTATAATCATTCCAAAAAGTTAAAGTTAATCAATGTTAAACTCATAATTCTGACTTTAATCTCAGAATTTGAAAGGGGGTTTGAAGGAAGCCATTTATGTTAAAAGAGAAAAGCCAACCAACGTTACCCTGAATCAGAATTCTGACTGAATTCTGACAGCTAACAAACATGTTAGCATCACATTTTATTTTTTCAGTGTCCCTAATCCTCTTCCATACAACAATGACCCTTAATGACTGCCTTTTCAGTATCAGGGATTGCAGGCCAATAATGACCTCAATGACTCTCATTATTAAGGGGTGGAGCTGGTTTTCCAGTTTCAAACTGTATTTTTTTTATCCATTACAAGGCTTTTGTTGGGCTACTCTATTAATGCCTGGAACTTAATGCTAATCCTGATATTTTGAATTGAGAAAACGTCCTGGATGGGAAGCGAAACATCTTCAAACTTGGAAAACAAAGTCCAGTTGATTGTTTTTTAACTTTAACTGTTTGGAATTTTGCTAGAATTTACAATTATTTTTGTAAAATGTAATAACCACAAAATTGAACAACAAAGACTAATCTGAACTATTGCCACTTCAACAAAGTTTAAGACAAATAATAAAGCTTTACAATTCATCCTGTATATACCAGACTGTCTTGTTCTAAATGTTTTTTTACCCTTTTATTTGCTTCCTTTTCTAGTTTTTATCTAAATGAATGCTTTAAATCTTTAATTTATGTATAGGAAGAAATGTTACAACTTATTAAAAAATAGAGTGTTTCACTGAAATACGTCCCCCTGGTTTCCGGGGAGAGGAACCTATGTTTTATGGGTTAGGTTTCCGGTCGGACAGTGTTTCGTGGCGCTCCTCCGTGTGTTGGATCCTGCGGTCTGCTCCCGGTTGTTCCTCCTACTGTTTGTTTACCGGTTTGTTGTTTGTTTGTTGATTGTTTACCGGCCTGTAAACATGCCGCGCGCCGGAAGCTCCTTGTTCTCTGGTTTCCGCGTTCTGGGGCTCTACTCCAACCACGTGCCGCACGCGCTCCGGTACCATATGAAGCACCGGGAGTTCTACGTGGTGACGTCAGTGGGCCAAAGCTTTCACACATTCAACGTAAGTATTTCTTTTAATTTATTTTGTTTTATTGAATTAATGAGTTTGATCCAATGGAAAACTGATGACTGTTTGGGGGCGGGGCGGTGACGTCACACGGTGGTTGGCTGAATGAATAAAATAATGGATAAATGAGTTGATGAAGCAGTTGATGACGTCAAAGCTGATCATTGATGACGTGTCTGATTCCCTGCAGGTGAGCCGCCTCGGGATCGTCTCTGTCAGTGAGTACCTCTGATGACGCTGCAGAATCTTGCTCTCTGATTGGCTGTGACGTAACACTGTCTGTTTTCCCAGGTAACAGTCTGGCAGATGACATCACGTGCTTGGCGGCTGACAGGATGCTGGTGTTCGCCGCCAGCGGAACGACGATCTGCGCCTTCGCTCGGAACAAAGAGGCAGGAAACCTCCGGCTTCCCGTCTGCCTGACCCCCTGTCTGTTCCAGCCCAGTTAATAAAGCTCTTTGTGTTTGGATCTCTGCCCAGGTGGTGATGCGTTACCATGGACACAAGCATGACGTGCGTCTGCTTCTTCCGCTGGGCGATCAGCTGATTTCTGCCGACAGCGGTGGCGACGTCATTGTTTGGGACGTTCAGGGAGGAGGTAAGCGGAGGGGGCGGGGCTTTCGGTCACTCTCTTCTGTCCTGATATCAACCATAGTTTACTCAATTGTCCCACAGATATTTACCTACAGCTGAACTTTGACCCCGGCACCTTTGATGTGTCAGCCATGATGCACCCCAGCACGTACCTGAACAAGGTGCTGCTGGGCAGCTCCCAGGGAGCTCTGCAGCTGTGGAACATCAAGACCAGGTGGGGGCAGCTGCTGCGAGGGCGTGGCGTTTTAAATCTGTGTTCCGTTGCCATGGCAACATTTGCTAACTGTCTGTTTTCTTCTCAGTAAGCTGTTGTTCACCTTTCCTGGGTGGTCGGCAGCCGTCACCGTCCTGCAGCAGGTGAGTCATCAGTCAGCTGCTTTCTAATCGTGTATCGGCTAAAGCCTGGCTTATGCTCAGAAACCAGGTCGTCTGCGTGTGTCGCAGTTATCGCAGATGTGCCCCCCACTTCCGCACACAGGAGGCCTCTGATTAGTCAATACTACATCCCCTTTAATCTATGCGTATACCTGTTTGGTCCCTAATGGCAGAAACTCGGGCTGTAGCGCCGTCCACAACGCCTGGCTCACCGCGGACACTCTCCCAGACGCCGTGCAGGACGCTAGTTTGTAGCGCTGTGTGACGGTCTGTTGGTTTACCCCGAAGCCAAAACACGCAGCGCCACGGCCAGCCTTTGGGAAACACGGGTGAACTGTGTGTCGTCCGGCGTTGGATGAGGGGTTGTAGACGGCGAAAAAGCTCGTCAAACTGACACGCAGACACCCACAATCCTGGCTAGTTCCTGATCGTCTCTCTTGCGTTGTGTCGTGGAATAACATAGCGCAGACCACGCTTCAATATTGGGCATAAATCAAAAATATCAGCGACATACCCGTATTTGACGCTGGTTAGACGCTGGTCAACATGCTTCGGCTCTCTGGTTGTCGATCTGCTTTGTTCTGTTGTTACAAGCTAGAGAACGCCTTGGTTTTATTTCCTTAGAAAAAATAGTTTTAGAAGTGCTCCGTTTCCACTAGTCCTCTGAAACCGATCCGTGCCGAGTCTGGACCAAGCTCAGTAAGCTAACCGCGCAAAGCTTGGTTCTTACGACCATTTACACATCAGGCTAGCGCGGTTCCTCTGTCTGTTTACCATAAAACTTAGAGAATAGCTTTTCGGATTGTTTGGAATGCTCAGATGCGCTGCCATAGACATGGACGTTTAGTGTGAACGCACTAGGGATGCACGATATAATCTGCCCCCTATCGGTATCAGCCTTAAAACTGAATATCGGACATCGGCCACCCCACCGATATTTAACCCGATATTTGATCAGCTTCTGAGTTTCTAAAGTCAAAAAAAAAAAAAAAATCCTACTTCTTCTTCTTCCTCAAAAACTTCTTTTTTACAGACTTAAAAACTTCTAAAGACGAGGGAAAAAATATTGATCCATTAAAATATCCCAATATCTTCATATGCTGATATATTGCCATTTAAAAACACCATATCAATCTCTTTTACTAATGAAATATTGCTATATGTCATCGTTATGCTACGAAATCCCCCGAAAATTCACCAAATGTTGCCATATTTTTATATGTTGATATATTGACGCGGTATCGATCTATTTTACTAACAAAATCTCACAAGAATTTGCAAAATATCACGAGAGTTTGTAACAGAACGATGAAATTTCACGAGATTTTGAAAGTAAAATAGATCGATACCGCGTTTTTAAAAATCAATTTGATATCAGCATATGAAAATATATTTGAGTATATTATTAGTGTCAGAAATGGATAACAAAACTGCGATTTTCAATGACTACTTATTTTTGTCCAGCTTTAACATCGGTAACGATATCGGTTATCCGCTACATGTGTGCAGTTATCCTGCACGCAGACAGACACACAAACGCTCCTAAAAACTTCACCTCTTTGGCGGAGGTTATAAACTTTGTTATTTAAAGTCGTATTTCTGTTGATGATATTCCAGGTGATGGGCTTTTATTTTGAAAGACTATCTAATGTCGACTTCTCTTCTCAGAGTCCAGCAGTAGATGTGGTCGGGGTTGGCACGGCGACGGGTCGCATCATCATCCACAACATCCGACTGGATGAGACGCTGATGAGCTTCACTCAGGACTGGGGACCAGTCAGCACCCTGGCTTTCAGGACAGGTAGTTCACTCCCGAGTTAGCTCACCTGCGCAGGTCAGACTGGACCAGGGGTTCTGATTGGACCAGGGTCACCGGGGTTCTGATTGGACCAGGATCACCGGGGTTCTGATTGGAACAGGACCAGGGGTTCTGATTGGACCAGGATCACCGTGGTTCTGATTGGAACAGGACCAGGGGTTCTGATTGGACCAGGATCGGTGGGGTTTTCATGAGTACATGTTGTCCTCTTTGTGGTTCCAAATGGGTCCAAAGATAAGGATCTGGTTCTGTTTGTCCCAAACAGACCCAGCATCCAGTTAATGTGGGTCCAAATGGTTAACAGAAAAAGGGTCAGTCAGGTTGGGGGTTTGTAGTCCAGTGGTTCTGTCGGGTTGCGGCCTATCCAGGTTTTAATGTCAGGCTTTGGTTGGACTGCTGGGATGTTTGAAGGTAGAGCAGAGAGTTGTCAGTGTAGAGTTGGAACACTTTGGTTCTGAAGATGGTGAGGAAAGGATGGACAGCAAGGTGTCCAAATATGGATCCCTGAGTGACGCCAGATCTTGTCTGAGAAGTAACGCAGAGTCTCCTCTCTCCTTCAGACGGCCCTCCGATCGTCGCCTCCGGGAGTCCTCAGGGACACATTGCATTCTGGGACTTGGAGCGCAAGCAGCTCGTAGCCCAGCAGAGAAATGCCCACAGAACAGCGGTTGCCGCGGCAACGTTCCTGCACGGAGAGCCGTTGATGGTCACCAACGGAGCCGATAACGCCATCAAGGTAAAAACACCCCAAAAAAATCAACAGAAACCCGTTAGGAAATGATTTTTTTCTCACTTAGATCTTTGTCTTTTTCAGGTCTGGATATTTGACCAGGAGGGGGGCGGGGCCAGGCTGCTCAGGTGTCGTCAGGGCCACAGTGCCCCTCCCACCACCATCCACCACCACGGCAACGATGGAAAGAACATCCTGAGCGCAGGTAACAGTTTTTCATCTGATTAGAATCGAGCTGATGCTTCACGCAATTAGCTGAAGCTCACGTCGGTCTGCTGCCCCCATCAGGTCAGGATGGGACACTGCAGTCCTTCTCCACTGTACACGAACGCTTCAACAAGAACCTGGGTCACGGTCAGTTCAGCGTTCAACCAGATCCTCGCTGGGGTTCTCTAAAAATCAGCTTTTTTTAAATGGAGTCTGGATGAAGGGAATAATGCTTTTGTTTTTTCAGGATCTATAAGCAAGAAAAAGGAGAAGAACAAGAAGAAGGGGCTGGCCTACGAGGAGCTGCGTCTTCCTGCAATCACAGCTTTTGCATTTGGTGGGTCTCTTAACACAGCCTGACTCTAAGAGCTCAGGGTTTCTGCCTGAGAACGGCGTGTGCAGAACTCCATAGAGAAAACATCAGATTTAAGCAGCAGCTGGGTTTCTCTCTCTGTCTCCCTTCTGATTGTCTCTCGCCCTCCCTCTCTCAGGTGTGACCCGTCAGTCGGACTGGGACGGGATCGTGGCCTGTCACCGAGGCCGCCTGACCGCCACCACCTGGAACTACCAGCGCTGCACCATGGGAGCTCATCATCTAAAGCCTCCAGCTGTCAGAAGGGATGCTGTTGCCACGGTAACAGCATGTTTTCATGCACATGCTTCTTTGCTCATAGACGTTATATACGTAGACGCCTCATTGGACGCCGTCAGCAGCGGGGCCGACATGTTTGGAGGGCGGCCATCTTGGATCGGATCACAGTTCAGACAGCTGCTGTCAGAATCAATAGGAGGTTCCTAAGATCTCATTTTAATCACATGAAAGACGAGTCAGAGATAATATTACAATAATCTCTTACAACCTCTTAAAAGAACAAAACTAATTTTAAAATTACCTTTATTTTAGAATACATATAATTATTCAGATGAAAAACTATTTAAACTGAATCTGGATGGGATATATGTAAAGTTATATATTTTGCAATTTACTATTAATATGATAAAAACAAAGTTTTTTTTTTTACATATATTTATATAGTGTTTTATTACCGAGTATTTTTTATGATTTCTCTTTGATAATAAGTATTATCATCTATAGAGGAAATTTGTTATGTGATTTAAAGAGAGTAAAGTTATTTTTATTTTTTATTAATTTGTCCTCGTTAAGACTGTTAAATGTATGTTGTTTCTAACTAAAGTTTGTCAAAACTTTTTCCAAAACTCTTTTTCAAACTTTTTTTAATCATTTCATACACATGTGCCAACATTTGTTCTTTAATCAGTTAATGTGTGCCATATATAATATATATTTTTATATTTTAGAATTTGTTTTGGTCTTTTAAGGGGTTCTAACATGTAAGAGATTATTGTAATATTATATTTTGTTTATTTTTAGTGTGATTAAAATTAGATCTGAGGCGCCTCTAATTCATTCTGACAGCAGCTGTTTGAACCGTGGTCTGATCCAAGATGGCCGCCCTCTAGGCACATAGGCCAGCGTCCAATGAGGCGTCTACGTATATATGACGTCTATGGCTCTGCTGACTTTGTTTTGCCAAATGCCTTCCTGTGTGTTCCCAGGCTGTTGACATCACTTCCTGCGGTAACTTTGCTTTGATTGGCTTGTCCTGTGGCCGTGTGGATGTCTATAACCTGCAGTCTGGTCTCCACCGCGGTTGCTACGGTGATGATGAAAAAGGTGGGCTTATTTGTCCGTTTGCTCGTTCCATCCTGCGTCTGCCCCCCTCTGACCCCGTCCTGTCCTGCAGCTCACAGCGGCGCGGTGCGAGGCGTTGCTGCAGACACGCTGAACCAGCTGACCCTCACCTGCGGCTCCGATTGGCTGCTGAAGTTCTGGCGCTTTAAGACGAGGAAGCAGGAGGATCAGCTTAAGCTGAGTGCTTCGCCGGCGAGCATGAGGCTTCACAGGGACAGGTGAGACAGCTGAGGAACTGAGCATGCTCAGTGGGTGCGTCCGTCTCCGATCGCTGATCCGTTCCTCCGTCTCTTCAGCGGGATGCTCGCCGTGGCGCTGGATGACTTCACACTAGCCGTCGTCGACATTGAAACCAGACGGATCGTCAGGAAGTTTGCAGGTCACCACGGCAACGTAACAGACATGGTGAGTGGATGCTGACGCTAACAGATTGTAGCAGTTTGATGTTCAGGCTTCGACTTACCGGCTTCATACTGTTCAGAATAGAGATGCAGGTCATCGGTTAATAAGTTAATCTGATGTTGACTGATCTTATCAATCAAGTGACTTATTGATAGGCGGCCATTTCTAAAATGGTGTTTAGAAGCTTCTAAAACCATGAAGGACTAAATTCCTTAAAATATGCCTGATTAAAACAAAGAAGGAACTTTTTATTGATCCAGACGAATAAGAAAAGAACTGCCAATCTCACAAATGACTAAACTCAAATTATATTTAATAAACAAAACAGTATTTAAATAATTTGTTTGATAAATAAAAGGGATTTAAATTAACTTATTTTATTTATTTATTTTTACATTTATGAAATTGTAGGATCACATGTGACAAATCTTGTGACCCTCTATTTAGTTAATTGGCATTAATTATGATTATTAAATATGTTGATTAATAGATCTTTATCATGAAACAATCATAATCTGTAACCTTCCTGATGTTGTTGTTTCTGATTGGTTCCCTTCCTCTGAACGAAAGTATGACCTCCATCTTGGTTCTCTTTCCTCCTAAGACCTTCAGCCCTGATGGCCGCTGGCTGGTTACCACGGCGATGGACTGCACCATCAGGACCTGGGACCTCCCCTCTGGCAGGTAAGCTGTGACATCATCGCTTAGTTTTTGTCTTCAAAGGCAGGAGGCTCCGCCCACTTAGCCATTGACGGTTTCCTTATTCCAACAGTCTAGTCGACTGCTTCCTGGTTTCCATGGCGCCCGTGGGAGTTTCCATGTCACCGACAGGAGACTTTCTGGCTACGGCTCATGTGGACAGTCTGGGAATTTACCTCTGGTCTGAACTAATCACAGCACTGGTGACATCACTGATTCTATCCTGTATCAGCCAATCACAATGCAGATCTCTTTCCTCAGGAACAACAGGAGTCTGTGCGGCCCTGTGGGGCTCCGCCCCCTCCCAGCTGACTACCAGCCAGTTGAGGAGACGCTTCCTGGTGTCTCTGCGGAGGAGGCTGCAGAGGAACTGAAATCAGAGGAGGTCGATGATGCGTACCAATCGGCTGAGCAGCTCGGGGAGCAGCTGGTGACCCTGTCGCTGATGCCGGAGTCCCGATGGAAAAGTCTGCTCCACCTGGACACCATCAGGGTGAGCTGATCTGCAGCTGCAGGTGTGATCACAGGTGAGCCCCTCCCTCACCCGCTGCTGTTTCTGTTCTTACAGAAGAGGAACAAACCTACAGCGCCCCCTGCTGCCCCACCCACCGCCCCCTTTTTCCTGCCGACCGTTCCTGGTCTGACACCTCAGTTTGCGTTGCCCCCGACAACCAAAGAGGACACACAGGTAGGGCCAATCAGCCGGTGTTCTGGATTTAGGGTCATGTGACCATGAAGCGTCTAAATATGGTTGTGGTTCCTGTTTGTCAGTCCAAGGTGCTTCGATGGGGGTCGCTGGCTCAGAGGTCTGAGTTCGGTTCTGCTTTGGAGTCCGCACTGGAGTCTGGATCATGTGAGTCTGCATTTCAAAATAAAAGTTTTTTAATTTATTTAATCTAAATTTTCCTTTTGAATATTCAGTGTTGAGAAATTAATATTATACAGTTTTTTTCTTTATCCACATAATTTACGGTATTTAAAGCTGCAGTAAGTAGGAAATTTACTTCAAAATTAACCGAAATCTTCCTCGTTTGTCTCCCTGGATGAAGGGAAAATTTCCTATAATCAGTCGGAATTCTCTGTCTGGTTTGTTAAAAGTGTCGATACTTTGGAAATAATCGATACTGAAACACCGTACACAGATTAAATACAAATAATCCACACTAATGATGCTAAAGATAAGAGGCGTTTGCATATTTTGGCTTTAGCTCAAATAATAACACATCAGTCAACCTTAAAATTTGATATTTATGTTGTTTTTTTAAATATTTTGCAGTTATTTGCAGACTTTAACTAGTTTCACTTATGTGGTTCAGAAAGCATTCCTAATTATGTTTTATTTTTTTTCTAAGGTTTTTATTCTGCACTACTCTATATGTGTGTGGCCATATTACTTGGTTTGATGAAAAAGTTGCCATTTTGACTTTTAAGTTTGAATTTTTTAAGTATCAAAAATAGTAAAAAATATTTTCATGAGAATTTTTGCTGTTAGAAATAAACGCTTTCTGATTATTCTCATTTTTAAATAAATATTTTTACGATTCTGTGCTTTTATTCTGTTAATCTGTAATTAACTTCCTGTCTGGTCCACCGATGCCCCCAGTCGATCGGCCGCTGCAGATCCTGAAGGAGTGTGGGCCGTCCGCGGTTTCCGTGGAGCTTACCTGTCTGACATCAGAAGGAGGCGGAGACAACAACCTCCTGCTCGGCTTCATCCACATGATTGACAGGATGCTGGCTAGTGGGCGGGACTTCGACCTGGCGCACGCTTACCTGGCTCTTTTCTTGAAGGTGAGCTAATTGCAACACAGCTTTAGACTTTTATTGTGAAAGTGTCCCAGCTTCCTGTTTACCATTACCTGTTTGTTTCATCAGCTTCATCTGCGCACGTTGTCGCAGGATGCCGTTGCCATGGAAGCGCTGATTCATCTCTCCTCCAGACTGGAGTCTGGGTGGGCGGAGCTTCAAGGATCGTTTAACCAATCATTGTGTCTGCTGTCGTACACAAAGAGTGCGCTGCTGTGAAGTGCACAGCGTTTGTTTTTGATTAAAGTTTTTCCTGTTTTTGTATCTGAATGAGTGGAATTAATGAAGAAAAAAACCTGGGATTGAATCAGGTTGGTTGATCACTTGATCTGATCCAATCAAACATGGAGGAAATTCCCACAGAACAAACAGCCTTACTGTTTCTGTTCATAGGAGGCGCTCCACTCTGTGTTCTGCTCCAGTTTTTATGGTAAACCCAACATCAAGAATATTTATACAGAATGAAAAAATCCATGGATGGATTAAAGATGCAGCCTCAATTTTTTTAATGAGCATCTGGAATATTTTCCATGTTTGCTTCATATGAGGCTGTATTGATTAGAAATGTTCCAAATAAGATTCAAAGATGAAAATAAAGGTTCTGTCCATGCTTACATTCTCCTCTTTATATGGAGCATGAGAACTGAAGCACAGCGGCGGCTCATGAGGTCAGGGAAACTCCACCCAGTTTCATCGGTTCTGCAGGAACGATTCTAGCGGAATAAATCCAGAACTGAGCTCTGAACAGAAACTGGGTCACAAAATGAAACTTTCTTCAACCAACGAGATGCAGAAAGAAGCTCTGACTCGATCCTGAGATAAGACCAACTGCAGCTCAATCAGGCTGAGCTCCAGTCTGGATAAAAAAAGCATCTTCTGCTTTATCTTTGCAGCAAATCTCTGTTAATTGCATCATAAATATTGGTAGATCTCCAGTGGGTTTTTAGACTAATGGATTTACCTCCTCTAGCCATTCTCTGTTCACCTTTGTGCTCTGAAGTAATCCCTTTATGGCAGGCCATGTTGACATAAAATCAGATTCACAAATTCTAGACTCCTCAAATTAATTTATGATGTTTGTCTTGATGGGTGATTCAGCATTAAGAGCATTACTTCTACTGGTATGACAGTGGTTAAGAGGTTAAGATTTGCCATTAGTCACCAATAGGCAGTTGCTTAGAGCCCCAAGTTCCTGGGAGCCCAATAAAAAAACTATACATGTATGGTTAATACAACTATTACTTATTTGTGCACCTTATATTTTTTTTATAAATACTTTCGCTAAAATGCCATCAGAACGCTTATAAGTGTCACTCAGCCCCCCCCTTCAGTGTCCACCATATTGGATCAGTCCATTTGCTGCACATGTTCAGAAAGGTCCAAATAGACAGCAGCAAACCATTTGAGAACAAACCATGCAAAGAGCAGTGTTGCCAACTTAGCGCTTTAGTCGCTATATTTAGCCACTTTTCAGACCCCTCTAGCACTTTGATTTCTAAAAAGCTCCTAGCGCCAAATCTAGAGACTTTTTTCTGCTACTGGAGACTTTGGAGACAACATCTAAAAGCAGCGAACTCTGCTCTCCAGAGCGAGTAGATTGGTAACCCCGCCTCCTGCTCTCCTCTATCTTGTCTGCTGTCATGATTCATGCAGCTATTATTTCATCCAAATGAAAAATGGAGAACAGATAAGCAGATCATGGCTTGTCTACAGTGAAAAGAAGGACTGGGTTATTTACTTTGGCCTTTTTGGAAACACAGGAAGGAGCAATCAGCTAAGTGAGCTTAGTGCTTGGAAAAAATCTTTCATTCCTTTAGAGACAGCATGAAAAGTCAGCTGAGTACAAAACATAGAGAGGAAAACAAGAAGAAAAGGGACAAGAAGAGAGGGACACAACCTAGAACAGATAATGGATGTCTATTCTATTAACATTTCTCTATCTGGATAATGGGGCTGTTTTATGTGTTGTCTTCTCCATTCAGAGGGTTCCCTGCCTGTCTTTGCCTGGGGCCCCAGATTCCCTAAATCCGCCCCTTCCTACGACCCCTGAACAGAGGCTTTAGTCGTGTTGCAGGTTCAAGTCCTGGTGAACTTTGCTGCATGTTGGTCACACAATATTCAGCCAGTCTGTTTGCAGCCACCAAAGTTCAGTTTTGTTAGCTCGATGGCAACATAGTGGGTCCAATGCACAGTTTCCTCATTTCAGATATATAGAAATGAAATGTTGACTATAGTCATCATTAAGATGAGGAAATCTTTAATTGTAAATACAGATGTAAATCTTCATAAGACAAACCTGGTAACATCATTTATCTTGAAAAGCACTTTGATGTATCAAATGTGACTGACGTAATGCTGAGCTGTTCCTCCTACTAGTCAGAATGTCAACTCTAAGATGCATTTTTGCATATAGTTTCAGTTGGATATAAGGTCTGAATCTTTAAAAAAAAAACAGCTTCCATCCAGTTAATGTTGAATTTTCCACACATCAGTGATTCAATTTGCATAAAAGTTTCATGTTAACGGCTGAAAACCTGCTGGAGGAATTTGTTTGAGTATCAGGTTCAAATGTGCTGTTATATCTGATAGAGCAGAGTTACTTAAGACCTTTTAATATAGCTATCGATTATTTTTTTTCTTTTCTTTCTTTGAAAAGAATATTTTGAAACTCTGAATTATTTTATTTTGACTGTTGGAGACATTTAATGTAATGGAAGCCATTTCTGTCATAGGATAATAAAAAAATGTAAAATAGAAAGTCATAATTCAGAGATACGAAGTTTGAAAATCGATTATCTTATAATTACTTTTATTTGGCGGAAACGGTCTTCCATATAATTTGGTTGTATGCTCATATTTACAACTGAGGTTCAATTGTATATATATATATGTATATATTTATGAAATATATATATATATATATATGTATATATATGTATATATATATATATAAAATATATATATTTATGAAATATATATATATTTTATTATATGAATATATATATAATGTATGTATATGAATATATATATATATATATATATATATATAGGCTATAATGTATATATATATATATATATATATATATATATATATATATATATATATATATGAATATATATATATATATATAATGTATGTATATGAATATATATATATATATATATATATATATGTATATATATATATATATATATATATATATATATATATATATATATGTATATATAAAAAAATATATATATTTTATTATATGAATATATATATAATGTATGTATATGAATATATATAAAACGTTTGGTCGCTTTAGAATGGAGGCACCTATTTTCTCCTTTTAAATTGTTAATAATATAACTCTTTGTACAAATTGATTAAAATAAACAAAAAAACACAAATTCATCAAAATGTACATTTATAAATGTGAATTTTTTCTGTAAAGATTATAAATTGATAAGGACCTGTTTTTTTCGTGGTGACGTCACCATCCGGAAACAAAACATAGGGCGGTGCGCAACCGCAGTAGTCAGCTGAGCTCGTGACGTCTTAGGGCTAATGAGTTTTTAAACTTTCGATTAAGTTTGGGAAAAAAGTGAAAATTTCCCGTTTTTATGGGTTTATTTCCGCCCTCGGTTGCACATAGGTTGACCCGACGTCATCGCTCAGACTCAGGCGCGCGAGAGTGATTGACGTTTGATCCAAACCGGAAGTGAGGAACAGGAGTTTGGATCCGCAGGTAAACTTTGACACGTCCGTTCTAATTCCAACTGCATTGAATAATGTCACAGTTTGCTGCATTAAAAACCTAATTAAAGGAATTTAGAGCATATTTAGTTCCAGTAATCTGGAACCAGAGGTCAGTTTGGGCTCTGAACCAACAGAACATATGTCACTATTAAAATTCACTTTCTAAAACTGCAGAAACCTTCTGAAAATCAACAAAAATGTCTTAAAATAAGTGTATTTACCCTTAATTTGATTAGGAAAATAAGAGGAATTAGCATTTTTACCATTAAAATCAGATAATTATTTATTATGCACTTGAAAGAAGAGACTGCAGTTGTTTTTTGTTCTTATTTTTTATGTAAATTGTCTTATTCCATTGGCAAAGTGACTCTCTTATGTGCACCTATTTCAAGAGAAATTGATTTACATGTTTTGCAGTGAATGGGTGTCCCAGTCAAACCAGTAAATCTCCAAAATGGGCACCAGAGGAGCTCCTGGTTTCTGTAGTGCCTTTAGAACTTAATTTCCAAGGCCTCAGTGAAAATTAGGTTCTGTCTTTATGCTGATGGTGATCTATTCTTTAGAAATGATGCAGAAAAGCCCTGCAGAGCCAATCTAACCTGACGGTTCTTCATGAAGTTCATACCAAGAACTCTTCCTCTAAAAGCAGAATTCATTCAGACTCTGAATGGCTCCAACTCCTGGTTCTGGATCCAGTTCTATGATCCGTGTCAAAGTTCTCTGAATATTTTTCTTTAGATTCTGTAGAAGAAAACTATACTATTTAACCCTTTATAGGGTAAGTTAGCCTTTATGATCACTTGTACACCCCTTACAGTGCTTCTAAACCTCAATGAGTTCTAGAAACACAAGATCTATATCCAGTCTTTCAGCAAAGATCCTGCTCCATGGCTGTAAATCTTATGTTGGCATTCGACCAATTAGATGAGCCGTTTAATGATATATTATCTACTGTAAATTAAGTTTTAAAAAAAAAAGGTAAAAAGCAAATTAAAAAGTTTAAATTAATAATCCTAGTAAATAGTTATATTTAGGTTTATAAACTAAAAAAATGTAAGTGCCAGTATCAGCATTAATGCCTCTAAGATTATGTTGTACCAAAAATGTTTCTTTCATTCTAGGAGTGTTTTTCTTGAATTAGTTTATAAAAGCACTTTGCATTTTTCTTAATATATTTGGGAAAGTTGGCATTAACTGATGATATTAACTTTTGGGATTAAAATATCCATATTTTTTGAACGTTATAAAGGTAATAAGGTCTGGTCCTGAATTCCAAATAACACTATTAGCTTTAATTTTGGATTTCACTGAGTGTCCTATAAAGGGTTAAAGTTCCAGTCCCTATAAAAACAACAGAGGCCTGAAGGTTCTGGTGTCAATAACAGCTTTAAATAAATGTTCATAAACATCCTTAACCAGAATCGGGTTCTAGATGTTTCTCTGTTCTTTGCTTGTGTTTATCTCTTGTCCACCTCCTGCAGTCCAACTGTCCTCCTCCTGTCCCCTCTCACAGACAGTGCAGCT